TTTGATACCAAATATACAGGGCGATTATGAATTTTTCGGATCGAATTAATTGATATGGTTTCGTTCGGAACCCATTGTAGTCTATCCAAAACACGTGCCTGGTAACCCACGAAGTGAAGTTAGACCAAGAGTTGCATCTAGGGCCCAACCCATACACTTGACCTAGAGTGTACTCTCTGTGTGTGTGTGTATTATTTGCTCTGTTATCATACATACACTAGGTTGAACCTTTGAGCCTCATTTTAAGAGAACTTATGACTGCTTCCCGGGCTTCTTCCTCTTCTCTTCGGTTTCTATCTCTTTGTGTGAGACCTATTTTCCCCTCTTTAGCCGGCACTTTGGCCAGTGCCATGGGCTGCTGGTTCGACCTCTTCCTTGTGTCCTGTCGCTATCTCCTTGCTGCCTTCAATGTAGCCACCGGTGCACATTTGTTTTGAGTGATATGTGGCTGCTTCTCTTAAAGTTTTGAGTTTGATTCTTGGTCCCTCTCTAGTAGAGTTGTTTTGTGTGATTTTGAATCTCAAATCTAAGCCCCATATAAATCCATTTTGGTGCCAATCTTTGTGATATAGATAGGGAAGTATTTATTAACCATTCACAACTTTGATTTCATTATTTTTATTGATTTGAAACTTAGTGTTTGTTTGATCAATTGAGGCTGCATTTTGGCTCCACAACCATTGTTGATGATAATTGTTGAAAGATGTGTGTCGATCATCAGCAATGGTATATAAATTAAAACAATGTTATTAATTCGCTTGGCATACTTGTCCTCAGAAGTTTGGGGAGATAAGATCATATCACTTGATTCTTGATATTCTTTAAAAAATAATAATTTAGTACGTAAACCCAAAAATCTTCCTACTTTTTATCTACAATTTTTTTTCAAAAAATCATTATTACAAAATCTAATCTAAAAAAGGGGGTTCAAACAAACCCTTTATTTTTAAAATTCGATCAAAAAATGGTTAAATGGGCAATTGCTTTTCTGGCCATCTGATCAAGTTGGGCGGAATTTTGTAACTATCGGTTATATCATGCCATCGTAATATATCTAATAGCAAAAATTACAGCAACGGTCCCCAATCTAAAACTTTTTGCAGACTTTACCTTAACATTTACTTTGTGCCACACACAATCCCAAACATTTCAAAAATATATATCTGGTGTCCTCAAGTTAACTATTTGTTGACCAAGAAAAGTGAATTTTGACTAATATTGAAAAAATTAAAAGGGTTAAATAAATAAACAAAAAATTAGAAAAAATAAAAAGGGCTTCTCTTCCCAGCCAACAGTAGTCCGGCACATTATCGACACCACCACCGCCTCCTTGTCGACAACTAACCACTATTGCCTAGGGGTGGGCAAACATGACCGAATCTATCCAAACCGAACCAACCCGACCCAATTAGGTGGGTGGGTTGTCTAGGCGAGTCGAGTTGGGTCGGATTATAGGTTCACTCATGAAAATCGAAAAAATCTGTCCAACCCAACCCGACTATATTTATGGACTTTATAAGCGTTATGATGTTATTTGGACGAAATTGAGTCACTCTATCTCTTCGCACAACCTGCAAGAGCTACAGTATTTAGAAAAATCTAGATTAAAGTGTCAGTTCTTATTGAGAAATTTTGTGCAATAGTTGAAAAGTTTGAGGAAATCATACACAAAT